ATTGCAACCTTGGCACTTTTGCTTTATACTGCCTTCCTTCATGCTTTTCAATAGTAGTTCACTACCAAAAGTGCTACTGTGAGCTATTTGTGAGCACAGGCACAGTGAGGTTTTGCCAAGCAGTCACAGAAATTATTTGGCAATGCCCATCTACCTCCAGCTGCACGAGCAACCACCCACCCAAAGGAGCAGTGTGAGAGCAGACCCAAGGGTGCAGTCACACTGAGCTCACAGGAAGCTTCAAAGCTGGGTGAATTGCACTGCCATAAGACTTTTTTTGCCTTTTCAGTCACTCATTGCACCACAGCAATGGAAGCTGCAGAACTGAAGAGCTGTACTTTGGGGACTGAATATAGATTTAACTAGTACAATTCTTTTCCTTGTTCTTATAACAGGAGAGGAAGCAACAAATTTCTGGTGGTCTGCTTTTACTAGAAAGGAAAAACAAAAGTCATTAGCCAGCACATGATAATTAACACAGATCAACCATTAATGAGAGTCCCTGATACCTGGCACACAGCTCTTCACCAGGCAGTGTCTGTTCAATCCCACCTGCAGCCAGGATAACAGAATTGCTGGGGATTTACCAGCTGAACTGACTGAGTGGCTCCTGCCTGGAGCCTGCTTCTCCAAGAGCATTCCCCGAGAGAGTGTTTACCATTTAATTTTCCCCAATTAGACAAGCCCCTAGATACAGGAAATTAAGCACCTAACACAGATCTTCTAATTCTGATGCTAATTTTAAGGAGAGATGCCCTTGGCATTTCCTACCAAGAGTTTACCTTTTGGTGACTCACACTGGACAGGTTAGGACACGTGTTATTTGCTTATATAACATTCAAACTTTGTTAATTGGCTAATATTTAACAGTAAAATGCTACTGCTTGCAAAATGTCTGTATTTCTCTCCATGTTTCAAAGTCTTTAATGTCTTTCTCTTTTCCAGTTCCCTCAGGCACTGGATTCTTAACCAAATACTGTTCAGATGCAAAGAGTGCTCCTCTAAGGGCATGGAGGAATTTATTTATAGCCACTTGAAAACCTTCTTAATCAGTGCACAATCATGCTACAGTGTAATCAATGCCTTCTACAGCAACACAGACCTATTTAGTGCTGCAGAATTTTTCTTTCACTTATTCAAGATTTATCCTAGAAATTGTAAATTACTTCCCTCAAATAACCATGCCAAGATTACATAAATAAATAGCTATATAAATAATTGTTAGCTTCACTCTCTATAACCAGCAGTTGAACAACCAGTGCAGAGTTCCTCTAGGAGTATTACATAATTTTTAGTTCACACTGCATGAACGCTGCAATTTGATTTCCATTGTCTCTTGAAACCAAAATTAATTGATGCAGCCAGTAGATTTCCTTTGATCCCTTCCAAACTGCAGACATTACACCCCTGCAGGAGAGGAGCCCCATTCACATCTGCACAGGAAAGGCATCAGTCTAAACCTGAGGGAAAAGGCAGGGCTACCTTCTGTGCTGGTGTGTTAAACATGGAAAGAAATTACATTAAATCACACAGGCAAGGTAGATGTCTTTATTTATTATGTCCAACGGTTAGGTCACTTGAGAAGTGCAGAATTTTCCCTCTGAAGACTGAGATGGACCTAATCTCTCCATTTTATGAAGGGTCCAACTGCCCTTGTGACTCAAACTGCTTTTATACGTTTGCAGCCCTCATCACAAGTCCTTTTCCCTTTAAACAAAATTCTCATCTGAAACTATATTTCTGTAGGGACACCTGAAAATTTTCCTCAAGATGAGAAAATGGTATTATTTTGATTTGAAATTTAGAATGAAGCCCTGCTGTTGTAAAGCCTGATTTACAAGAGAGCACAGTAATCCAGCACCAGGCAACAAGGCTTCCTCTCCTGCAGGGATAAAAACTTTCCCAGCTGCCCTTTGAGAGCACACAAGTTTGACTGAAATGTCTAGATCACAGCATTCCTGAGGGACAGGAGTAACTCCCTCCCTTTCCCTGAAGGAGTGAGCAAACACTGGGAGTGATGCCAGAGCCTGTTCAGTTTGCTCTTTGGGGACAGGAGAATTGACATGTCTGTGTGACTCACTGGGAATATTAACACAGCCAACAGGCAGACATTTCAGCAACTGTACCACTTGTGGGCTCATTATGTCCATTTTCTTACACATGAACAATAGCATATCTATAGAAAACCCCAACACTATTGCACAATAACAGCAGGTTTTTATTGCTTTCCAGGAACAACCCTGGCCCCAGGCACACTGCTTTGGCTTCTTGCTTAGAGGAAAGAGCCTGTCATGCCACAGCACACACAAACACATATACACATGACCCAGAGACATTCTAACCCGTGGCATCACCAAAAACAAGTGAACATTTTGCTGCACAGTCCCCTAAGTAGGGTTGGTAAAGACAGCTGCTATCCATGGAAACTTGGAAATACAAAAAAGTGAGAGTGGGTCTTTGAAATTTCTTTAAGGCAGTCTGACAGCAACAAGACCCAAGTTTAGTATCAAGATGGTGTTCAGGAAATTTACACTTTCATTTTTAAACCAAATCCCTTGCATAGCCACTAATTACAAACAAATCTGCACAGATAAGAACATGGCAGACTTGCAAGTCAAGCTGCAAAACTGGAGAACCATTAAGTTCTGCCTAGCAGTAGCTCACACACTCTCAGGTACTGACCTTGCACGTGTTCCTTGAGCAGTGGTCACATTTGACATGAAATCCCTCTGAAAATTTCCTTCTGAAATAAATCTCTCTCTGGAAATTAGCATAAGTGCCCCGAGCAAGCAAGCCTGCCTAGAGAGATCACAGAGACTTATCTGATCCTACAGATGACAGGTTCATCATCAATAGAAGCTTCTGCACCCCCAGTTCTCCACTGGTGCATTCCTTGAGAAAGGGCTGTGCATTCACCTTACCCTTAGAAATGCAAGTACTGGAAGAAAGGCAGTTTGTTGCTTTTAAAAGACAGAAATTATAAAGCTTGAATTCTACAAACAAAGCAACCCAAAAAGTGCCTTTCAGTGTACTGAATTTATCTGAATCCCTTCGCTTTTTTTCCTTGAACATCAAATTTTGCTCCTGTTGAACACAAAACTGGCAGATGATTTCATGAGACTGTATCCTCATAAGATTCTGCTACATTGCAGCTTACACACCACAATAAGTTTGTACCAGCCTTGTGAAATGGAAATGGAATGAAGTGATCAGAGACTGCACATTTACTGCTTGGCTGTTCCTTTCACTGCTCTGCACTTCAGAGGTAGAATAAAAAGGCAATCACAGCAAACGACAGCTTCAGAGTGGAGTCTGATTATAGTCAGCTTTGCAACTGGAGCTCAGAACCAACTGGTATTTTCTAGAATAGACTTGGAATTGAGCTATAAAGAAATACAAGACTTAACTGCTCCCAAATCAGCCAGAACAGAACAAAGGACAAGAAATAATTTTTAAGATTTTTTTCCTCAAAGCAAACATAGACTTTGGAGTAAGGAAGGGATGCTGAGCAACCTGACAAAGGAAAAGTGAGATGCAGCCAGTCTGGTCTGAAGCTCACATGGCAGACTGCCTTGTGCTGAACATGCCTACAAGCACAATTCAGCAGCTCACTCAACACATCCTAAGGTGGCCGGATTTTCCTTACAGCTACTAGGTTTCAGCACCTCAACACAATTTCAATCCATGTAACAGTAGCATCCTGCACATAACTAGCACTCCTTATTTCAATTACTTTGAGCAAACACTGCTTCTTTTTGGCCTCCCAAAAGAAGGATGTGTTTCAAGGTTGTGGGACAGGGCAAATTCAGCATCTGCTTCCATGACAGCTGGTAATATTTTATGTCAGTCAGGATCATCAAAAATAGTGTTTTATTTACAGTTACATTTTCATATTCAAATTCAATACAAATTATGAAATATTTACAACCATTTCATTTGTACTATAGCTAAGAAAATGCATTGCTTTCCCCCCCCCGATTCTTAAGTTATTTATTGGAGACAAAATCCTACTAAACAATAGAAACTAGTCAAAGATGCAGAGGTAAAAAAATAAAGTGCATTTATAAGATGTCCTTAGTTACCTTCACTGGACAAGGCCAAGTCACTTACTATTGAGGCACACCCAGTGTTCCTACTTGACCCCATCTCAACTCCACACGGAGGACAGACAGCTTTTCCAACCCTCTGTTACTCACAGGACATCGGCTCTCCCTGCAGCTTGTGCACTTGAGCAAGACTATGTACAGCAACAGTCCAGCATTTTACAGAGACTGCATCATTTCTGAACAAAACACAGCAGCTCCTTTCATAAGAACCTGTCTGTTCATCTTCGGCCGAGTCTTTCCTGAAGTCATCCCAGACTCCCACAAAGCCAGGACTCTGGCACATTGCTGGTGCTAGAGATGGTTATAGCTCCTCAAATCACTTGAGGATCTTTCAGACTAGCAAACTAACTTTAACGAGGTTTGAAAAGTTCCTGCAGTTGTTCCCTTTACAGTAAGTCAGATTTGGCCTGTCAGCTTGCAGCTCTCTTTTCTTCCCCTTTAGGAATGTGTGTTGGCAGGCTGGAGTTGAGAGGTAGAGAATCAGTCGGTTACTAGAGAACCAAAGACACTGTGGACAAAATCCAGTTTGACAAGCATTAGTTTGCACTTTCTCCTATCAAAATAGTGCACTGAAACATTAAATACCATGTTGCTTTAAACAAAACTGTCTCATAAATAAGTATCAGATCAAAATAATTTGTTTACAATGAAAATCCACTTGAATGAAAATAACAAACAAAAAAACCCAACTCAAAACAATTCCCAGTGGAGACAACTATGACGTACAAAATCTTCTCACTTAAACAGCTCAAACACAGTAGAGAAGCTTTGCTGAAGATGGAATTTTTGTTTTAGTTAAAATCTGCTGGTTTTCTTTATATTTAAGACAGCTTTACCTGGAGAGTGTTAAGACTCCTGTGGGAAATACAGGTTTAAGAAAGGCAAACCATACAATTACTATTTGGACAAGTCTATTTATCTAAGCATTGCCAATGCAGTATTTTCTGCAGCAGTCTTGCAACTTTTGTTTTATATGGAATGGCAGTAGGCAGCTCCTTGCAGAAGGCTTGCACCACATGGCTGGGCATGTTCTTACAATGTGACTTCACAAACAATTCTGCTTTCACAAACTTGTGTTTCATCTCCCTCAAAACCTGGGTTGTCACCATGTGAAAGGACAGTCACAGTGGAGGGCTGGGACTCTTCACTCACAGGATGTGTGTTGTCATCTGTCCAGAAGAAAACCAAGTCAAGACAAGTTAAAAAATGCTGCAGCCAAGTGTTACCATCCTAAAGCAAACCACACAAACTTGTTTGCATAAGCTCAAAAAACTGCATTTTCCTGCAGGGATGGCCATGCTCCAGCTACCTCTCTCCTGCTGCCCCTTGGTTTGGGAGCCCATTCTTGCCACTGCCTGTCCTTTGTGCAGATGCCTGCTCAGCTCAGTAGTGCTCAGCAAGCTGAAGTTGTGTGCTTAAGCCACAGAAAGCTACAGAATCCAACTAGTAGCAGGTCTTGTATCTTAAGGCTGCTGAAGGCAGGCATCAACTGCAACCCCTAGAGACCAGGCTCAGGATAAACTGAGATGGGACCTGTGCTGATCTGGAGAAGGCCTTCTCCCTACAGACTAACCCTGTCTGGCTGATGTCCCTGTGTGTCCTGCCCACTTCAAGTGGGAATGCAGGAGAATGGCCCATGTAATGTCATGGCCCAGCATGCCTTGAGCTGCTTAGAGGGATGCAATTTCAACTTCTAATGTTTAGCTCACAGGAAGTGTCCTCTTCTCTGCTGGGGTGCTTCAACAGGGGCCCAAACACCCACCACCATTTGCTGTAGCAACATGTCCTGCAGGAGACAAGCAGCAAATCCCACATTTTCCCATCAGCTAGGCTTGCCATGGGAAATAGATCATCCCCTTCCTAAGGCCATGCCACAATTCCCGGGATAGTTACTTTCATTTGCTTACCTGCAACCTTTTAATTTTTAAGATCAACAGCAACACTGAGTATGTGTGTGTAAAGCTGAGCACTAAAAAGACATTTTCAATTTGTTTGCTCTTGTTCGAAAAGATGAAGTATTTGGAAAATCTGATAGTCTTTACAAATTAACACTCTCTGAAGCCAAGGATGACTCAGCCTTGGCAAATCTGAAATTCAATTGAAGTATCTGTCTTTATCTTGCACCATCCAAGTTAGAGCAAGAATGACTCCCCACAATTTTTTTTTAAGTAACTACTTAAAGCAGACAGATCTAGTAGCAAAACAACACTCACTCATCCAAATGGGCTCTCCAAAGAGACAAAGGGATAAGGGACATCTTTGGAAAAATCTCTTTGCTCTTGAAGTAGTAAGCCTCTGACTTAGAACTATTCTTTCATAGACTTTGGCTTTTAATTCACATTAAGGTTGTGTTTCATTTGGAAACAAAGAGCAAGTGTCAGAGCTAAGGGCTAAAATAAAAAGAAGATTAAGACAACCCTGAAAAACAAAGTATTCAAACCGTGTGACATGCTATGAAAGCAACTCTCCCCAATTTACAGCCTAAGCAGCAAACTGCAAATGATCTAGCAAGGCAGATGAAAGAGTAGACATACTTTCTGATGGTGCCTGTGCCTCCTGAGCAGATTCATCTGGTCCCTGTACAGAATCATATCCAGATGATGCTGTTTCACTAAGATTGTCCTCTTCATTAACTATAGTGACAGTGGATAGAGGTCTTTGGCCACTGGATCCTGGGGCTTGCACAGGCTCAGACCGTGGTTCTACATCCATCTTTGTGAAAAAAAGAGAAAATGGTTAAATTAAAACTTGGCAGGAGGGTGCATCTTTCTGGGAGAACAGTGCCTGCAAGGACTGAGTCCGGAGCACTTTTATGCAGATGGAAAAACACTAAATGGAATAAAAGCTCTGCTGTTATCAGAGGTGCAGAGGCAAAAACCAGTTTCTGCCTAATTGAATGGGAAGTTCAGACACAGCTTCTGCATTTTTCCCCATATGAGGAAAAGTCTTCCTTCCACTCACTGCAGATCTGCCTCCCTCAGACAAACTGTGGCTCACAGTTTAGCTGATCCAGGCAGCATCAGGCACTGGCAACAGCATCTTCCTCTGGCACTTGCAACAATGAGCAATTACAGAACACATCAGAAATTCCTGATGTATCCTAGGAAGTCATGCAGTTCCACAAATGTCACACATGCTAACACATTCACTTTTCAAGGGCTCCAGGTACTGAGCAACTAAGAGAAGCTGGTTTCAGGGACAGTATGAGTTGTCAAAGTCTGCCTAAAGGTTTGAGAAACACCCTTAGCTGTAAGCACAACAGTTAAGAGAGATTCTTCCATCAGGCATGAGTCAGCTCTGGCTGACATTCTGCCCAAGACCTCAGGTGATACCAACTCACACCAGGTCAGCTGCAGGCTCCCCTAAAAGGGACACCACAATTATTCCTATAGCATCTGGCCACAGGCATGGCACACCTGTGCTTGCCACCTGCACTCCAGAGGCAGCATGAAAAGCTGAAGAAGTGGCCGTGACACCAGTGTAACACTGAGACTGGCAGCTGGCACCTCGGCAGGCTGCTGGCTTACCTCCACACCCAACACTTTGAGGATGTCACACTTGCACAGAGGACACGTCCCGTGTTCCAGAAGCCAGGGGTCAATACAGGTCTTGTGGAAGAAGTGGCTGGTGGAAGAAGGTAGCAAACAGGTTAGGTTTCATACTAGGGAGATTGCTCATGTGCCAGCTATGAAGGACCCTTTTGTAACACCAAGAATTTATTTCTTCTAGAATGGATGACCTTATTTTGCCACAAGTTTCAGCTGAAAGTTCTGGACAGTTGATCTTTCAACCTGTAGCTGGTTTGTGCTTGTCAGTATCCCAATAGAACCCTCCAGAATTCAGCATTAACGTTTTTGCTACACCTCAACAGTCTAAAGCTGCTTTTTCCAAAACTGTGTACAATACATTCCCAGCTGATAATTTAAATGATACAACTATGGACATCTCAGCCTTAGCTTTACAGTTAACTTCTGTCATACAGATGTAGATGACTAAATAGCATTTGTTTCTGTTGTAATTACATAGGCAAATCATCTCACAGAGTTATGTCCTCAAGATAAACTGTACTCCTACCCATTTACTGTGTCTGTGCAACCACTGTGTATTCCAAGTGGATATTTGGCAGGCTGTACACTCAAGAAAATAAATATAGCTCAGCCATCACAGATGCAAATGTGTGCTTCTATTAAGACACTCAATTCCACAATGGGCTTAAATTAGGCCACAGATTTAGGAGGATGACTTGAAATCCTGTGATCTGCCTGTTCCCTCAGCCTGAATAGAAACAGCAAGGCAAACAAGCACTGCTCAGTATTAATCAACCACATCCAGTGCTCAGCAGCCTACACTCCAGCAGGAGCCAAGGATTCTCCAATTCAGCTCACATCATCAGCACTTCCTTCCAGCTGCACCCACGTCATGTTTGGAATAAAACCTGAAACTTTCCTGACTATTTAACATCCTTGAACTTAATACTGGACTTGTGAACCTCTGCAACTATAAATGCCTTCAGTTTGACTCTCTGGGCAAGAATGCCCTTGGCAAATACCCACACCCCAGGGACTCAGATACCATCAATGTGATTCACAGGAACATTCCTTTGATTGGTTCTTTCACAGATACAGTTAAACGCTTTCACCAACTAGGGTCTCAGTATTGAGGTCAACCACCAAAATCAAGATTGTTCTTGCAGTAAATATTAGTCTACAACTCACATGAGGGAAAATTTAGTATGGTTGATAATGGCAGATATCACCACTCGTGAAGATTATCAAGTCCATGAGTCATTTTAAGCTAGCGTGCCTCTGCGAGCTGCGTTTGGGCCACAGAGGAAGGAAACATCACAAATGTATGTAAAAGCAGTCTCAGAGCAAAAGCAGCTAATTCGTGTACAAAGAACACAATCAAAAGATGTTACACTCTTACCCAAATAAGTCATGCTTTGCTTGCAGGTTCATAATGTGATTAGCAGGGTTTATAGGGAAATAATCAGAAGTCAGGTCTCCTATCAGGCAAAGCGTCTGGAGCCTGTCTACAAGTTTCTGTACTCATGGCACTTAGTCCATTACTGAACAAAACTACCTATGAGCATAAACACGACTAGACAACTGGATAATCATTAACATACATGCTTCAAAGGTTATTCAGTTTTGGGTTTTTTTTCTAAAGTATTAAGGATTAGATAAAGGGAGTTGGTTGATAACAGCTTAGCAGACCAACTTTGTATTACCAAAACAGCTTAGAGGTCCTACAGCTGGGGAACAGAGAAAGCCTCTGCAAAACTGTAACCTGGTGTACAGGTAACTCCAGCTGAGATTTGCCACTGTTTGACAGCACTGCTCAGCACACAGCAGCAGCTTCTCATTTTTCTATTCTTCAGAACTTCATTTCCCTATATCAAAATGTTTCCAAGTACTTTTTGTAAACCTCCCTGAGGGTTACACCTTGGAAACAAGTCATGACACCTTTTCCTTTGTACAATTTGGGCAGTTTATGTGGCAGCCCTCTGATTTCAGAAGCAGTTTCAGTCAGCAGGCACAGGGGGAAATCCCACAGAACAAGTTTTCTTAAGCCCTGAGGCAGCTTCATTGCTCACCTTAGGAGCAATCACATTAAAGCCTTAGTGCTTCATTACTGGGCTTCCTCAGCAGCACAGCAGTGAGATAACATAGGAGATAACTGTATAAAAATAAACTGCTATAGCTCTATTTTGGTCTCTGTTTCAGAGGATGCATACAAGAATAGAAATGCTTTCTTCTAAACTACAAAAGCCAGCAGGTTTTAACAAATTTAGCAGAAACACAACCCTCGTAGAAAACAGCAATTAAAGGGACAAGAAACAGGAAACATTATGTCAATTACCTGCAAGGTAGTGGTAACATTCTGATACACCAGCAAAGGAAGAAATCCTTAAAAAGTCCTGGCATCCTACTGAGGGACACTGTGGTCTGCCAAGTTATATTTCCCAGGGGAAGTGATGAACACAGGCCATTGGGGCACACTGCAATTGTGTATTATCACTGTTTCTGGTGTTCAAAACATTGTTTTGATAGATATTCAAGAATTCTCACTGTACAACAACTTGAGGAAAGTTCACAAACGTGGCATAATTTTGGATAAAGGGCCAGTCTGGAAGACAACTTACTTGCAAGTCAGGACACGCATTACATCATTCGGTTTGTACTGCTCAAAGCACACAACACAGGAATCTCCATCTGGACCAGTTTCCTAAAACAGTGAAATGAAGTTACAGCTTTAATACACTTTGAAAGCTTCCTCTGAACTCCAGTCAGATTTACTGCAGACAAAGGGGTCTAGCTAGAGTCATCCATGATGCTCCCAAATATAATCTTACATAAACACATTTCATGGATTACTCACAGTCAAACTGACACTTCAAAAGAAGCATTGAAAGTTTAAACCCATGGTTTAGAATTCCAGCTGAAACTGTTATTGGATTACTGGAGGCACTAGTGTAGAGGTTTAGAAACTGCTGCCTCCAGTTTTAGTTACAAGAAGAGCCAGGGAAGCTGATCAGACACTAGTTTACGTTTAAGCATTTATGCCAGCAAATTAGGTCCTCTTACATCAGCAAGACTACAAGCAAGCAGCTAACAAAATAAACTGGTTTATATTGAATAGAAGTCTTGAAGCCTGGAAAAGGAGCTGGTCTGAAAGAGGAACTGTCTCTGTCACCAAGAGTTACAGGCTCAGAGAGACTTCTGGCTCCTGCTCCAGTACCAGGGAGCTGCCTGGGTTTCATGCCAAGGCTGTGCTGCAGTGCAGGGGAGACCACAGGGTCAGTCCTACCTTGTCCCCTTCCCTCAGGGTGCGCAGCTCCATCTGTTCAATGGCCTTCTTGGCCCTGGCCCTCAGCCGCCGCTGCGACACAAAGAGTCCTGGTCAGACACTGCCATTGTTCTGTGCAGTTACTAATACTTACCCGGTGCCTACTGCAAGCAAGCAACAAATTTAAAACCCAGATGTTATCAAAATAAGCCAAGTAAGCATGACCATGCTATTTGGAGTCAACATGAAACTGAGTTTTGGGACATACTGATGCAGTTCCTGACTGGATGACACACCAAGACAGCATTTATGTCTGCTTTGGTTGTACCTAACCTTCTCACAAACCACAGGAATTATAAGGGTTTTTTTAGTTTGAGAAGATGCAAGATAATACCTTGATCACATTAGACCCAGTCAAAACAAACAGAGGCTTTCAAACTGACTTGGTACAGAAGACTGAACATGGAGTTCAACAATCAATTGTTTTATGTTATACTCACTTTAGGACACCTTCCTGCCACAAACATTCTGATGAAAGATGAGAGAGATTTTTTACCAATCAGCCCACTTAGCACCAATACACCCCAAACTACTCCTCTGCTTCCACTGCTTTTCAGCTTGCCTGGCAACTGTTGCTGTCTGGCTGTCACTGGAGTACCTGGAATTAGCCCAGGACACAGCTTGGTCTGTTCCACTGGCACAGCTTGGTCTGTTCCACTGGCTCAAAGGCTGGGACTGTCCTCTCCCTACGTGGGGCACTTCAGGCAGCTCTGGAGTGCCATCCCAACACAACAGTAACCTCAGGGACAGACTAGGCTCAAGTTTTGCAGGTAACCAAAAGCCTCTTTCCAATCCCACTGCTCTGTGCAGGAGCCCCACACTGCTGCCTTTCCAGCATTCCACCTCCTTAGGCATTTTAGCTCAGGGACATGAAACTTTTCCAAGTGCAGTACTGGTGGCACAAGTACAGAAGGACAAGTGGGACAAGGGCTGTTGCTGACACCTAACAATCTTGCAAGGACTGGCCATTTGAGTCTGCACAAGATTCTTTGTGCTAAAGCAGCTAATAGCAAACAAGTTGATTCATATATCCCCCTGGGACCCTGTCAAATAGTTTTAGCACAAAATGAGCTATTTTTGTATCAGTATTGGTTTTGTGCCCTAAGATAAGAGTATCCATATGTATGCTTCAAGAGTTTAATAGCTGGCAGCTACTAACAGCTATCAAGGAAGAGACACATACAATCCAAAGGTGAGGGGTGCAGACATGCACATTTGTTTAGAAACAAGAACTACTGAGGTTTTCTTGCAAGTTCGTGAAGTTCTGCTGAAGATATCAGTATACATTTCTGTGTGTCACTTATGGTTAACTTTGAAATGATGCTGTCCTGGTCAAGGTTTGAGACTGAAGCCACAGGCAGCACCACATGCTGCTGCTTACTGAGGCCCCAACAGTGTGAGCAGCAAACGTGGTAGCATCAGCTGAGCAGGAATGCAGCAATACAAGTACTTCTCAAACATGGCCAGAACTGTCACCACTACATGTTATTAACTGAAAACTAAACTTTCTAGGAATGTCCTCCCACATACAGTATCTCATCTACACATCTAATGTCAGGCCAAGCACATTTAGACAGGACCCAGCTGGCTGCATGTTAATAATTTACTTGAAACAATATTTTAAGTTTTGCACGGGCACCAGTTTAATTGCTCCTCATTAAATGCATCAATGACAAAGTCACCTTTAACATTGATTTTGGCAAGTACAGCAGAACACCCCTCCAGGGGATGGAGAAAGGTTGCAGAAGAAGCTTTATATTGAATAGTCTACAAGGATACTCAAGCTTGGAATGTCAAAGCATTTTGTGAAGTCAGGTTTTTCAAGAGAATGTGAAACATGAATTATATTGGAACTATAAAATCCCCAACACGGAAAAAGCTAGAAAAAAAAGCAAAGTTGAGGAAATAGAATCAAGATATTACAAAACAGATCAGGTCCCAACTCCTATCCAGGCTCTGGCAGGTAGTAGTGGGAATTTTCCCATCTAAATGGGAAAATTAGGTTTGGAGTCACTCAGTCCTAAGTCTTCCTTGTTCAAAGCTGCTAATTTTACTTCCAGCCCTTTCTGCATAAGGCACCCTGTGAGCACAGTCATGCCAGTGCAGACCAGACAGTTCTGAGGAGATTGGGAACTCCTGCTTTTCTCCTGTAAGCTAAGGAAGTTCTTCCCCACAGGTAACTATTGCCATTGAAGCAGTTTTGAATTGTTGAAAGTTGAGCAATTTGCCTCCTCCAAAGCCATTAATTAGGTAATTTCTCAGCTGCAACATCTAATCTTTATGAAATCAAAACAAGCAAAGGCTTGAGCTGAAATTAGAAACCAGGCCACTGATAACATCATGGGCCATTTTGCTCTATTAAGAAAGGTTACTATATTGAGAACTGAATTTGTCAGTACTCCACTGACTAGAAAGGTAGAAACCCACCTACCACACTTGCCTCAGTTTTCCACCTTCCTGCTCACTGACCTCCCAGTGCAGGAAGAGACTGCAGAGGTGGAGACTTGAATTTCAGGCCCAGAAGAAAAGATGCATTCAAGAAGGAACTAGCAGGTTGCACAGTGTAGCTTGCTCAAGAGGAAAGAGCTGCTCTGGTTTAACTGTTAGGTTAGGACAGATGTGCTACCAAACTTCTCTTTTCACTTGGATCAGAAGCTGACATGACTGGCTTTTCTCAATATTGACTCAAGCAATCTGGGTTGTCAAAGGGCTGAATGGTGACAGGAAAGCCACCGAGATGCACCACACAAGCCAGGAAGTTGTCTGACTAATATTCAGTATTTCCTGGAGCCAAAGCATTTAAAACTCTCAAACTCTGAACCTACACTAAAATCCAGTCAGCAGCTAACAGGGCACATGGCAGCATCACCTTTTACTAGTTCACCTGAACTAACAAGCATATTCTTGCTATTCTTTACTTACCTAATCACTGTGAGGTCAGTCTGAGAAGCCAGGGTATACAAATAATTGAAAACAATTCTGGATTGTCTTTGAGTTTCACTTGGACAGAATAGTGTATTTTTATCCCCTGACAGCAGAAAAGCTTTCTTGTATTCTTATACTCCACAAAGCACTTCTTGGGGCTCTTTGATTTCCGTTCTGCTGAAATCATGTGGAACTGGCATGTCATTTATCAATGCTATTTTTTCAACCTGCAGCAAGCTCCTTGTGCACATGGAACCCAAGACTTGTAGCCAAGCAGACTGGATTTTCCCAGTACCAGCTATCACTGAGGCATTAATAACATCTGCAGTTTCTTGAAAGCCTTATAGCTCACTACTGCACTCTTATGTACCTTCAAAGGAGGAAACATTTAAATTTGATTTAATGAACAGTGCTTAGGCCACCCAGATTTTCCTGCTCAGATTTATTTAGCATTGTTAAACAGCTGTGAGACTAAGGTAGATGGCAGGGTATTGAAGGAGGGGATTCATCAGGAGGAGACTGCATCTCTGTCCACAAATGTCAGCAAGAGAACAGCATCAAGTTAGAGACAACTCCACATTTCATCCAGGAGTGGCAATGCTACATCTCACAGGCAGATGACAGCTTCCAGTATTTCCAACCCTGAATCTGTCACTGTAATTCTCAGAAAGCTTTCAGTCAGAAAGCAGCTTTCAACAAGCATCAGCTCTCAACTTGTAGCTAAAGTCATGCCCCATTTTGCAGACACACTCCCAGTCGTGTCTCCTGTTATGGCAAGCACATAGGCAGTGCTGTGTGGGAAGGATGAGGGTCAGCTAAAAGCAGTTTAGCTCTTTCACAGCTCTCAGTACATCAGCATTAGGTCTACACTGCAGTTCAGGGAATATTTGTAGGAAACACAGTTAGCTGAGCACAGTCACCTTTTCTCCACACAGTTCACTCTTGGCTGTTCTTTAGGAAAGTTCTAAGCTGAGCAAAGATGTATCTCTTAGCATTTTAAAGATCAAACAAATTCAGTAATTTTGGTACTTAACCAAAACTTACAAACCTCAAGACCCACGCCAAGGAGGGATGGGGGTATAAAGAAACAACAGCACAAACTCACCTGCTCCCGGGACTGGGCCCTTGCCATAATGAGTCTCCGAGCAGAGTAAGAGACATAGCAGCCCACAGTTGCTGCTGCCACAACAAAAAAAGACACAGAGATGAAGAGGATGGTGAAGATATTCATGGAAAGACTGCGCTTTTTGCCCACTTCGATGACCATGGTGACTTTCAAGCCGCTCTGAATCCGGTGCAGGATTTCCATGCCCTTCAGGTTGCCAATCATAATTGCAACGATCTTTTCAGCACCTGCAAAGAAGGGGAATCCATGCTCAGTTCCCAGGCATTGTCTTAGATGTCCTGCTTCAAGTGCTAAAGAAATGGCTGTGGGAAGTTTCTAAATAGTATTTATAGATTCAGTATGAACTGATGGAATGAGTGTGTGGACTAACACTGTGTGTTAGTCCAGCTCAAAGTGTGTCCCATTACCTATGAGTGGCTAAGTGAACCATGTTTAGGATTCATTCCTCTCCACAGCATTCCTCACTCCTATATAGGACACAGACTGTCCTATTTTAGACACAACACTTTGGTGATTTACATTTTAACACGCCTTTGAACTATATGAAGTTAAAAATAAATCCTCTACAGAGTAAGGTCACTGGGGATTGTGATATCTGTATAGGGATTGCTTCCTGTAATGGATCCAACTCCCTCCCTGCTCCACTGCTGCTTCTTAGCACCTCTTTTCTAAATTTGACAGTACGTTTGAGTACCTCCCCAGACACTAAGCAATCAAAGACACAGATCACCCTTCACTTCTGTATTTTCAGCAGCAATAGAGAAATTGAGGGAAATTGCATTGTGAAGTCTAAGTGTTTCTATGAGTTTCTACTGCAGATTCAGAAGGAAGCAAATATGAAGGGAGATGTGCCCCACTTTTAAACAGCTGGGGGCAAGATGCCAAATGCCATCCTGATTTTAACAACAGGTTTTATTGGCTTAATTGAACACCACAAGTGAAAGGAAGCAAGGTGTTTATGGTAGGAAGAAATTTCAAGCAACTCCAGTCAAGCACAGACCAGAGCAAACTGGTTTCCTCTCAGTGACATGCAAGGGCTTGAGGACACTTGACACCATTTGCAGAAACATTAGAAATTCCCAATATAACAGAGAGGCTCTTAACAGGGGGAAAAAGGGAGAAAGGGTGATGAGTAAATTATCACTGCTAAACTAAACCAAACACAAGAAAAGCAGATTTGAGACCAGCTAATCAGGAGTCTCACTGGATTAAACCAGCACCTACAAAACATTCATAATAGACATTGCATGGGGGAAGAAAAAAGACTTTACAAAGTGCTATTTTTAGCTAACCCTCCAGCCAAACACTCTTTAATGGGAAGACCAATTGTTTTTCCCTCTGCTGAGTTACTCAAGTTTTTTCCCTCTGCTAAAAGTTATTCAATTTTCAGCTACCAAAAAACCCTAGGATTGGTGTTAAACCACAAAGGCTGTCATTAGAAAAAGTGTTTATTAGTTTTCCAGCTTGTTCACATAATGCTTGTGATCCAACACAGCAAGCAACTTTCCTCAGTGGGACAAAATTCATATTTTATTCATAAAGTTCCTCATAAAGACAACGATATAACATCACACAGAGAAGAGAAAAAAATAAGTCTGCCAGACTGCAACTACTCTTAAGGATGAACTAGGGCTTATACATCACATATAAAATGAGCTGGAGTCAGGTGTTAGCAGCAAGCAAAGAAGTCAGAAGCTGAGACTTGCTTTCACAAGCATGGAAGAAAGTGTGGAAGAACATGCTGCAACAATGAGAAAATAAAAAGCCTGTCAAAAAAAAGAAAAAAAACCTATTCCCCTATATTTCTGCATGTCTCACAGTAAATCTATCTTGTGACCATGCATGCACAAGACACAGAATAGCAATTCCTATTAATGAAATGTCACCATCAGCCAGCAAAACCATTCCAGCTACTAAGCCATCCTCTGTGAAAAAGTTTTACTCTTAAAGAGGGAAACATATTCCATTTGAGTTTCAGAGTGCATAGCTCACAAGGATGCCGTCAGATGACAGCTTTAATCCTCACTACACTTCTCAACCCCAGAGATTCCTGTTGCAATTTCAGCTCTGCTCTAGATGAGCACATGTGAGTGGCCAGCTGGTGGCCTTGACACTGGCACAGGGCAGAAGTGAGTGGCCACTTCCATCAGCACATGTTTGTGACAACTTTGTGCAAGAGGATCACCCCCACCCAATAAATACTTCCTGAGCTGCTACTTGGGTCCCATTATGACAGGTACTGAAACTTTATGGTGGCCTTGAGAGCACCAGCCTAGACAGAGGCTCCTGACAGGCCTTGGCCATCATGCAGGAAACAAGGCATTTGAGGGGTGACCTAGGCTGCAATGCAAGATGTAACCAAAATTATGAATTCAATTACCAGCTGTTAAAACCAGGTGGGACACTGTTCTTCATCTCCTCCACCAGCCATCCTCCCTCCAAGGGGACATCTTCTATTAATGGCCATCGGGTCTCACTGCATGACTGACAAAGTGACATCATCCCAGCGTGAGATGTTCCACCTGGGGGAGGAGCCAAGATTCCTACCTGGATATAACCTGAGATTTGGAACACCAGAGCAGCCTTTTCCCACGGGATTCCCAGAGTGGGAAATCCCATCTACCCCACCACTGGACCTTCAGAGGAAAACCACACCCTTCTACAGGATCACTGCTTCAACAGAACCACCTCTGCAGGACTCCAGCCACCATAAATTGCACTGCTGCCAACACCCTGACCCACAGGGTGTCAGGCTGTATGCTGACTGCCAGTGGTTTTGTACTACTGCATTTATTTTAATTTTCCTATTAAATTGTAGTTCTGATTGGGATCTCCCACTGGTTTGCTGTCAAACCAGCACAAATCTGCAGAGGTGCCTCAAGCTCAGCAGCTGCTCTGTCAGCTTTTTCCCCACCCAGACTCCAGCAAAGCAGAGGGAAGTCAGCTGTGCACAGCAAAAACCTCCGGAAACCCAAATTCTTTGCCCAGGTCTCAGCTCTTGTGGTTCAGCTGAAGCTTCTGGAACAGTTTTTAAGGAACACTAGAAGGTGAAATTATTCTGCTGCCTGTTTAGCTGATGATGGGCTCATTGCTAAGCAGAAACAAGACCTGTTCAGTTAAACATTGCCCAACCTCTTTCCCATTTACTGTGAAACTGGAGAGGGAAAGTTACTCACCTTTTAGTAAAACACAACCTGCCTCTATGGGCACCTCCCAAACTGTAAGGCAGCAGCAGGTCAAAATCTGAAGGAAATGGGTTGATGAAGTACACAAACCCCAATGGTTTGGGGCAGGGAAGTGCTGGGACACAGCACACTGGGTCTACAAGGAGAATGCATGACTGGGATCAAAGTTTCACCATCCTGGATCAGTTTGACTTAGATCTAAGTGCAGTTGCATCTATTTATAGCAGTATCAACACCTATACAAAACTCTGCCCTGCAAAGATTTCACTTGTTCTGCCAGTACACTTCTGCTCCTAAACCTGAAGTGACAGCTTTGACAATTCAGTAGAGAAATGAGATGTGCAAGGGAGGCACAGAGCAGGGAGCACTAACTTTTGCCTAGTACACACCTGCCTTTTCACATTCATTTAAGGTGATTATTGTAATCCAGTGCTACATTTTGTGGGCTACAAATCCTGAACCAAGCAAGCTGTCAGGCCTGGAGGACACTTACCCCACAATATTTATAATGCAATGCTACCTAATCCATGCCTTAAAAATGCTCACTTCTAGCAATAAAATCACAATCTATTAATGCATTAAAACCATTCAAGGCAAGGTACAGACCTCAAGACCAAATAAATCCAATGATCAAAGCTAACTCAAGAACTCCAAGTCTCTACCCTCACTCAAAACAAATTTCTCAGCTCATTCAGGCATTTCAACCATTTTGCATTGTTTAAACCAAACAAATTCAGCTTCAATTAAGTTATGAAAGGTTTATAGGCCTCAGTGTAACTTTGGGCAAATTCCACAGATCTTTCTCTTCCTGGACAGTGAGAGCCAAACCTCTCTGGTGTCTCTATCACCATTTACCAAGAACAGGATGTAAAACTGATGGACTCTTTTTCTCTTTGGAAACAGACCGAGCTACAACACAGTTTAGTGAAAATATGAGAGGAAGGCAACAGTCCTGAGGGCGTTTTAAGAAAGAAGGTATAACAAGGAAGAAGCTAGTGTGCCACACACAGCTTCCAACATTTTGGATCCCATCACTTTTTCCCCCCAGCTTTCTCAGTCTGAAGTTTTGCCTCATCTTTAATCAGATGCAAATTAAGTGCCCACAATTTTACCAGTATTCCTGCACTCTGTCCAGAGAGCACCTTGTGCAACCAGTGCCTCTGCTATGGCACAGCCAACTCTGCTTCTCCCCAGGACCAGCACAGCTCACGCCAGTGTTCCCAGCACTCCACTTGGGAATATCCCCAACCCATCCTTGCTGCTGGTGGGATCACCAATCCATTTCAACAGCCCAGCTGGCAACCACATAAGCCACCCACTCAGAAAAAGCAGAATGGAGGAAATTACTTTTGATTTTGAATGTTTCATATATTTTTTTAAAAAGAAAATAAAAATAAGGGAAGTGCAGACTTTGGAGTTTGAATTCTCAAAGAATGAACAGGTTCTCCTTAACCACAGCACCAGAGCAGAAATGCTATCTGAAGGTTCTTTCAGGAGACCAAATACAACTCCAGCCTTGGTGCCTGGATCATTGTTTTTATCTACAAGATATGGTGCTTGCAGCAAAGACCAGTAACAGTTGTGCCTTATGCCAAAGGCGCTAGAAATATTCTCCTGGCATCCCTCCAACCCCACCATCAGCAAAAAAGGCATTAGGAGATCAAGCTATCTCCTGTTCTTTAACATGAAAGACACTGTCAGTTTACACTCCAACCATTTCGTACCAGTCTAGCACACCTGGCTCCTCAGGCATGCAGGAGGAGTATCTGATAGCCTATCTGTCATGTTCAGAAAAAACAAAAACACAACGTCTTGAACATTGCTTATCTCACTGGACTTGAATAGTAAGAAACGGGATTTCTGGTGGTTATCAAACAGGCTGGTACAAGCTTACTGTTATCTGTTACAGTAGGAGGAAAAATAAACTAACAGTGTACACAGGCTGAGCTGGTATTACCAACCTTACGTAATTCACCTCAGATGACAGGCCAGCACTGCACATAAAAGCCAGCAAGTCTCAGCAGCACTCCCCACTCCAGGAG